CGATCCAGAGGTTTCGCCGACATCGACGCCCATGACGCTCTGCTGTTTTCTTCTGTTCCTTTTTGTTTTGGGCACAAGCTTGCCCCATTAAACGTTTAGTTCCTACAGTTATCATCGCCTCATCAAAATGTCATCCGTGACAATATACATTAAACGCGGGTCCGTACCCCCTCGATTCGCGGGTCACAACTGGCGTAGCAGACGATGTAGCCTCGCACGGGGGGGGGGGGGGGGGGGGGGGGGTCAAATTTTCTTTGTCTTTGACATGCGCTACTTTAATCTAGGACGCTCTTGAGGCACGGTTGAAAAGCGCCCGGCATGAGGCTAAGAGCATCGTCTTCGAGGGTACGGACGATACTTCTTTTGGTTTACTTGTTTGCGCATGGTGGTCGAGTCCACTCCATTTTACAGTCAACTGTCAACATAAAAAGGGGGGCGGGGGGGCTTAGGCCATCTAAGGAGTGCTGACAAAAAGAAAGAGAGAGAACGCGTAAAAGTGGTGTGATCCTCTAGTTGCTCTAGTTTTGTGAGACCGATGTCCACCACTTCTCTCGCTCTCTACGCCCCCCCTCCTTTGGCGTCCACGAATATTTGCATGAAAGTGAGAACCGATGAACGATCGATAATTCGCAACCGCCACTTCTTCTCTGACTGGTCGAGTTTTCTGTCATGCAGTGTCTGTCGCCTCCATGACCATCTCTTAATGAGATGTTTAAAATCCAGGCCATAAGGAGAACGGAATCCTAGAGTTTCAGTGGATACTTTGCTTGCCAAACGAAACAAACACACATTGTCATCAGCAAGAACAACAAACTCTAACCTACGAAAACACATCAAGGTAAGCTGGGACACCTGCATTCTGCATGGGCTATACATTGTAACGTTAGAACGAAGTTTTTCTTTTCTTTTGAATAACAGGCGAAACACCAGAGTCAAAAGGGAGCTTTCGTAGATCGCTTCTTTATCTCCGAATCTCGTAGCGGAGGTAGACGCTGCTGCTGAGCATGCGCACCGCTAGCTTTGTCTGCACAGCTCCAGGAATCTTTTTCGGGGCCCGTAAGCTAGCGGGATGGCGGGTGGGGTTGCAGCTTTCGGTGCCTTGTCAGCTTACAGGTGAACGGAGTGCAACTACACTCTTTCTCTTAAATACAATATTTTTTTTTACAAAGACTCCCGTATGGGAAATAAAAAGTAGTGTTGCGGAATATTTTTCGAAAATATCAAAATTGTTTTTCTTTGTTCTGGATAAGTGGATAAGTGTAAGTAGGTAAAAAGTAACCTGAAAGTAATCTGTAACGTAACGAGTAAAGTAATCTAACGGTAATCCATTACTTTTGAGGCTCGGTAATTTGTATCTGTAATCCATTACATTTTTCAAGTAACGAACACAAGTCTGGTTTTGACGTACATATGTCTCGCGCCTATACTCCTCTACAGAATTGTCTTCTGCTTTCTAGTCAGACGACCAAAGTCCGCAGTAGCTCTCGTTATCTAATCTACACTCGCTACTTGCAAGGACGAACGTGAATTCTGCAGCACCTCGCACACAAGAAGGGAGAAAAAAAGTTTATAAACGACGAAATAATGCTAAAAACGTCATTTCCGACAGTATTTTTTTTTCTTTCTTCGTGCGCCTAAAGTTGATCACGTTTCGCGTCTCGGTTGACACGAACCGGCAGACGCGTGAAACTAAAACGAAAGACCAGACCGCCCGTATCAGCAGAAAAACACAAGCGGTCCCCCAGTCGCAGACACAAACATCTTCCTTCACGCTATAGGGTGTATCACGCAGGCGGCGGGCAAGGCTAGCTGACGGCACGATTAGCAGACGGCGCGCGTAGCGAACGGGACCTTGAGCGCAACCGGAATACCTTTTTTTGTTATTTGTGTTGTCCGTTTACGTCTGCGCGTCTCCCACAGAAATGGCGACGAGATGTTTTCGTGGCGCTAACTTCCGGGCGCTCTTGTGTGACGGAGAGGGTACAATGCAAGCAGACGACATGCTATGTAATAGCACGGAGTGGCTATGTTAGTTCGCATCTATGCCGACTAAAAACGTGTAATTTGTTAAAGAAACGCCGATGATGTTTTTGTGTGTGATCTTTCTAATGAATAACAACGCCTCAAAATAGCTTTTTATATAAAAAATAAAGTTCAAAAACAAGCCTAGAGCTTCACATTACAGCTTGCGCGGCGTACGTCAGTGATATTCACAGCCCCTCCGATTCTTATTCTTTCGGATCTGTGGAGGCTCTTGTAGAAAAAGGTTTGCCATTCACCAGATTAATTGACGTGCTGTGATCTTAGCTGTGCACAGTTGTGTTTGCAGAGCGCCGCACACTTGTTTTAGCTATATTGAGCTTGCCGATTCCGACGCTTCTATCCAAGTGTGACACGACAGTTCAAATGCTCGTCAGTAACTGACGCTTAGCTCCTACCGCATCGAACACGTGGCTAAGCCTAAATAGATGTGAAAATCGTTGTCATCGCAACATCTCACTACTCCAAGACTCGCGTTATCTGCAGCTTGAAATCAGTTCTTCTAAAGCTTCACAGTTACTCCCGCTAAATAAATCAGCTGCTTGCAAAGTATGCTCGCTCGTGTTCATTTTAGTTTAGTCCTCGTTGAAAACCTAAATCTTCGGCGACAGACGATCAACGCGGAGGACGAACGCCACAAACAATTCGAGAACGAGCGCTAAATTAGAGCGCTACGAATTGTATTGTTTTGGCTGAAAACAGCCAACAATGTTTACACATTTTTAAAAAAACCGGCGACGATGGACGAAATGGAAACCAACACAAAATGTCTCAAACGCACCTACTAAACTTTTTTTTGCATCATTATACATGCCGTGTCTCACACACGCGTCTCCCGGAATTCGCACACGTTCTTGCGACCTTGCACCACGGTACAACTCGTCATGACCTCAATTCAAAGCAACGACCTCATCGATCGTACACAACAAAACGCACACGGATGGATGTACCGTTTATAAAAGGCGGTAGCTTGCGCCACCTAGCCTACAAAGTAAGAAACAAAAGTGTGACTTCTTTACCTCGGCTATTCGCTTACCCTCTGCAATTTCGAAATTATCACCAGGGATTGTGGGATACCACCGGGAAGACCTTTGAGGGATGGTGCAAAAATATAACTAAAACTATCACCCCTCGCTTCTTCTCCCCAGCGGGGGAGTCGCCCATTTTCCTTCTGGTCAAACCTAGTCGGTGTTACCCCGGCACCGGGCCCACTGGGAGTCAAGGTGGAGGCTTTGGGCCGGAGCCACCTGGGAGAGAGTCCCAATTCTTCTCTGTCACGCCTGTCCCCAGCTCTGTCAGTTAGTTGTATGTCATTCAATTCTCCCTAGATAGTTTCTACCAGTCTTCCAATCTCCTCTTTGTTATTCAATGCACTTATTCATTCTTCCATTCTCGTCTATAAACCCCAGCGCTCCGGTTAAATCCGTCACCCTTTCCGGGAGGGCGAGAGCAAGCCCTGTGCACCTCGACACCACATGGTCAATTGTCTCGTCTTCCATTGGACATACGCACAGCGTGTATCCATTTCCTTATACTTTGCCCTATATGTCCTAGTCCTCAATGCTCCCCAGTTCTAGCTTCGAATAACAACGCAATTTGCACACGTCTTTTTGACCTTTAACCACGGTACAGACCTCACCGCGTGCACTATGATACAGGCAACAATTCAACCGTCATTTCCATTTTTTTTAATGTGTAACTCTATTTAGGTACGCCGGTTTACTTATTTTTTTAAACAATATTTACACTGGTTTTAGATTTTCTTTTGCTTTAACCGGTTTGATTTGGTTTTACTTTAACTATTATTTGTAGACAAAAAGTACTTGCTAAGCGCATATGTTTTACGTTTTTTTTTTTTATTATGTTTGTTAGTCGCGATGACGCTGCAAGCGGGAAACGCAAGCGCGCCCAACTGCCTCGAGAAAACCCTATACTATAAGTCGACGACGCCAACGTCGTTGCGTTCGGGTCCCGCGATTTCTTAAAGGCACCCGAATGTTGGGACCCCTCTTCTAAAAGCCTACTAAAATAGCCCGTTCGCATTTTCGATTGCGGTCGCTGCCTAAAACAGAGTGGCGCCTGCACTGCGTCGTGACTCATTTCCAAGTTGCAATCACGTAACCTTAAAGCCGCGAACACACAGAGCGAAGTTGCATCCCGTAAGCACAACCGCTCCGCTCTTCCAAACAAGAAACAAAAAAAATAGACGTTAAAGCGAGGAGAGGGTGATGGCCGGAAGGAGCAACTTGAGGAAAACATTGCGCAATTCTGCCACACGCTTTCGCGTCGCTCCCTCAAGGCCGCCGCTGACGCTTGCACCGAACAAACAATCCACCCGCGTCCGCGACACCGTTACAACCGGCTCGTTTCCCGTGGCATGTCTCACTGGCACCAAAATAATAAGGCCCGCTTCAGACGGGGCAACTTTTCCAGCAATTTTGAGGCTGCTGGCGGGTTGTTCCCTAGCTTTCCCTAGATCGACACGAATTGTTGAGATCGGGTCCGGCTCGAACGAGCGAGCAACTCGGAGCAACTCCAAGACGTTCGAAACGGCTGCAGCCAATCAGGGACGCAATATTTTCACGTGACACCCCTGTGGTGGTGATGATGACAGCTATAAACTTGGTTCTGGTTTGAAATGGATCGTTTTTGGAAATAAACCTTTTCAGAAAGATGAGTTAGTATTCTCAACACCATTCAAAGATATAAAAACACATTTTTAGCACTCAGCTGGGCGCCTAAAGAGTTAAAGAAAAATACAATTTCATGATGATGATAACAAGTCATAGCAATTCGGTTGCTGCGTGTGAACGCGGGCGGCCCGTGTTGCTGGATTTGCGACGTCAAGTTGCTGGGCGAAATTGCCCCGTCTGAAGCGGGCCTAAGAGTTTTCTAAGTTCCCACGAAAACAACCAAAACCGCCCCTCAAAAATAATCGCAAACAGGACGCGGGTACTCACAACACTGAGGATGGCCAACACTTTGGTGCCTGTTCGGACCGTCATGCAGCCACAGCAGCAATGCGTGAGGTACGCCATGATTCTCTCCTAATCCAAGCTCCTTGTCGTACACGAACAAAGCAAGATCATTTTGAACATTCGCTGCTTCAACGGCGGAAAACACTCGGAGAACCGCCTCCAGCGACAAGTCAACAAATGCGCGGCGCTCTGTCGAACGTTATGAGAAAGGATGAGCAAAAAAACGGAGAGCAGAAACGCGAAGGCGCTGCAGTGGCGCCAGTGGCGTCGGCGGTGGACGGCACACACTTTCCCTTCCTTTCCCCCGCCGACATCGCGACACGCCCCACCATCCGCGGCGCTGGCCACCATGACGCCATCGTACGTCATCGTAATTTGTTTTGGGTTTTTAAAAAAAAACGTCACAGATCAGGACCACAGTGAAATCCTATTTAGTGGTCCCACTCAAGGCCACTTCCGGTAATCGCGCGTAGACTGCGCTCCTCAAACCGGATGGCAACAACAACTGGACGTCTATATCCAAGAAAAAAAAAAAGAAGAAAAGAAGGAGGTAGAAAGAATGGTAATAAAATTATTTGAGTACTCTATCTTATTATTTTTAGAAAACATAATTATAAAGGTCCCAAGTACGATCAGGATTAAATGGCCTTTTTATTTGATCGCCTTCCTCTTTGTTTTCCTTTTTAGCTTCCTCTTTGTTCTCGTCTTTGGAACATTACACACGCCGGGCCTTTTCTCCTCAGCCCTCCTGGGGTGATATGGAACCACGTTCCTAAGAGCAGTGATTTCGGTGGTGTCATTCAGTCCCAAGTAGTACAGAGTCTTGAGAATTCCTTTTAGCCTGCGCGTTTGGGTGACCATGTAATGCCCAAAAAATGCGGCCTTGGACCCTTGTAATCCTCTTCGGACTAAATCCACGTCGCCTGGTTGGATCTCTGGCACTGTCCTTTGGTGTCGCTTGTCGTAACTATTTTTCATTGCTGACCGATATTTTTCTTGTGGCCGTGAGAGTTGTTTCTGTTCCTGCAATTTGATTTTGTTGGTTAAGCCCAGAAGGTGATCTGCAGGTATCCACGGGCTCTCTCCGCACGCGGCGAAGTGTGGGCTACATCCCAGTCCAGCCGTAAAGGAATTGTTGTGGTGCGCAACGGCTGCTTCAAGCGCGCACTTCCATCCACCCGTGAAGTTAGGATACATTGCCCTGAATTATTTGGTGTCTCGTATCACCCGCTCAGCTATCGGATTTGCTTCTCGGTGATACGGAGCAGTAAAGAGGAATTTAATTCCCTTTTCTTGCGCACATCTCTGCAACTTTTTGCTGCGAAAGGCCGGTCCATTGTCTGAGAAAATGACTTTATTATTCCGAAATGCTTCTCGTTCCATCAGCGAAATGACAGAGTTGGCGTCTTCTTTGCCCTCCTTGGCAGTCACTACTCGCGTGCATTCATATATAGCGATCGGGAACACTTGCGTTTTCTTGTCATCCCTTCTTCTTGATTTCTTCATATCAAGATGAATGACCTTAAAGGAGACGTTAGAGTATTCGGGCGTGACCATTTCATCTCCCCAAGGTCGGTATTTAGCCTTATTCGCTTGGCACGCGTGGCAAGTACGCACATAATTGGTGACGTCGTGCTTCATGGTCTCCCACGAGAGCCTTCGCTTCAGTTTCCAGTAGGTTCTGCTAAATCCATCATGCCCTTCTGATTCCGAATTGTCATAGTAAAGCTAGAGGATTGTAAGAACACCGGGCTCTGGCACACGGAACTTTCCAACTCGCACTTCCATGTTTTGGGTGCCTTCCCGAATTCGGGCATGGTGAATGCTCTCGGTGAAGGTATCTTTAGGAATGTGCAGCCTGGAGAGGGCATTAGCATCAGAAAGCTTTTCTCCGGGTCGGTGGGTTATTTATTTATTTATTTACTCTCAGGGCGATTAGGCGTTACAGAGAGGAGTGGTGGAAAACAAAAAACACGTATAGCAAAGAATAGTTATGATGTCATGTGATGAAACACGGCAGACTTGAAGGTAATGTGGTCGCTGATGGAGACGACGGAGGCTAGAAGGTGGTTCCAGTCCACGCTGGTTTTGGGGACCAAGGAGTCGAAGTAGAGGTTAGTCCTACAACTGGGTACACCAACTTTAAATCGATGATCGGAACGGGATGACACATAAAAGGGGGCTGTAAAACGTGACTGACAAAGGCTGTCGTTCGTGGAATAGATTTTATCAAAGAGGCATAGTCTGGAGATGCGACGTCGGATAGAGAGTTCGGGGAGATTTAATGTTTGTTTCATTTGAGAGACGCTAGCTAAACGGGAATAGTCGGACAAAATAAAACGGGCAGAGCGATTCTGGATAGATGCAAAGATTAGAACAAGCGAGTTGATATGTGGATCCCATACAGACGAAACTTACTCAATTTTGGAGTGCACAAGTGTATTATATAATAACAGTTTCAAAGAAATCGGAGCGAGAGAGAAATTACGATGAAGGAAACCGAGCATGCGGTTAGCATTATTAGCAACGTACTCAATATGTGTTTACCAGGAAAGATTAGAGGTAATCTGAACACCCAGATATTTATAGGTGGAAACGGAAGACGAGGGGGAACAATTAAGAAGATAAGAAGGCGGATTGGATTGATTAGTTGATCTCGTGACTCTCATTACCTTGCATTTGTTAACATTGAGTTTCATTAGCCAAGTGTCGCACCACACGCAAAAACTGTTAAGATCGGTTTGAAGGATAGATTCATCAGAGGAGTTAGAAATTTCTCTATATAAACACAATCATCAGCATAAAGTTTAGCAGATGAGACAATAGAGTCAGGAGGGTCATTAATGTAGATGAGGAAAAGAAGCGGTCCTAGGACAGACCCTTGAGGGACGCCTGATGACACAGAAGAAAGTTGAGAATCATGATCGTTAGTTCATACATACTGGGTGCGATCATGTAAAAAACACGCAATCCATCCTAAAATATTGCTATCGAGGTTCAGTTTGCTAAGTTTGTAAAGTAGTAGACGATGCAGAACTGTATCAAAGGCTTTAGCGAAGTAAAAAAAAAACACAATCAACGGTAGATGAACGGTCTAACACAGAAAACAAGTCATTAGTAAAAACGAGTAGTTGGGTTTCACAGGAGTAATGTTTACGAAAACCATGCTGGCAGGATGTAAAGAAGGAATTCGATTCAAGGAAAAGAACAAGATTGGAGTATATCACATGTTCAAGTATCTTGCATGGAATGGATCTCAAGGAAATTGGTCTGTAATTACTAGGGTTAAAAACATCACCAGATTTGTGCACTGGAACCACCTTGCCGACCTTCCAGTCGCCGGGTAGGGTGGTACACAGCAATGACTGCGTAAAAATCTCAGACAAGATGACAGATGAATAAGTCACAGTACTCTTCGAAAACTTGTAACCGATGCCATCAATACCTACTGAAGATGAAACTTTCGTGTTTCCAATCAGTTTAGAAATACCAACCGAGTCGATGAAAATGCGTGTAAAATCCCAATTTCGAATAACAGGTAATGCAGTAGGTGCACAATTCGTGAAGAACAATGTGAAGGTATTATTCAAAAGAACACAGCTATGATGACGTGGTATCAATAGGCCACTTTCGGATTTTAGACGGATGTCTTTACGTTCACGCATACTGACGACATTCCAGAACATGCGTGGGTCAGTGGATAACAAAGATGGAAACGTGTTATTAAAAAAAGCGTGCTTGGCGTTGACAATAGCTTGTTTATATTCCGACGCCACGGACAGATAAGCTGACCAACGTTCGCCTCTCTTGGATTCCTTACAGCGACGAAAAAGACTTTTTTTTTTTCTTTTTTCTGAAGACGTTTTAGCGATAGGTTGAACCACGGGGATTTTCGGGAACAGGATATTCGACGAAGAGGAATATATTCATCAACGAGAGTAGTGACCTTGGTTTTAAATAGATCCCAATTTTCATGAATCGATCGTTCCCAGAACTGCGGAAAGAAAGCATCAGCAAAAATTGCCAACTCGGCGTTGATTGCTCGAAAATCCGCTTTGCCATAGTCCCGAATTAGTTTATACTGCCTAGGAAGGCGGGGGGAACTGGATTGTAAAGTGAATTGAATAGCAGAGTGGTCGCTTAAACCAGGCAGAAAAGATATGGATGAGACAGATTCAGGTGTAGCGGTCAATACGAGGTCAAGAACATTAGCTGATGAGCTAGTCACGCGAGTAGGTACATTTACAAGTTGGGAGAGGTTAAACATAGAACAAGTGCTAATAAAAGCTGAACACTCCGACGAACCAGAAGTTACAATAGGGCAACAATTTTTCCCCGATATGCCAGGAAAATTAAAATTACCCAGCAGGAATAAGGGGGCCTTAGGGAATCTAATAAACACATTACTGAGGCAATTATTACGTCAAACGAGAACTGTTGTATCTCGCCGACCTACGCGGCCAGTCCTCCCTTCGGTTGAGTTAAACTTTAGAGATAAGTAAGTGCTTGGTTGTCCATGAAAGGTTTAAAATGACGACCTTCAAGGTAACTTCGGAAATATCTCAACGCCATGATCACCGCTAGAGCTTCTTTCTCTGTGGTGGCATAGTTTTCCTGGCTCCTGAAAAACGTGTATGAGTAGTATCCAACTACTTTTAACTGACGGTTGGACGGCTCTGTCAAGTGTTTCTGGTAGAGGACGGCTGCTGCGCCATAGTGTGAAGCGTCCGCACAAAGTGTGAAAGGCAGTTGAAAGTCGGGTAGCACAAGGATTGGGTCAGAAGAAATTAACTTGACCAGGCAGTCGTATGCCCTTTCGCACTCATCACACCAGATAAATGGAGTATCCTTCTGAATTAAACTGGTTGGGCACTTTGTCTTCGTGGCATAATCTTTAATGAAAGCTCGAAAATGTCCAGCGAGCCCCAGAAAAACGCGGAGTGAGTGCAGGTCATAAGGTTTTGTCAGCCTAGAGACTCTCTGCACTAATGGCTCCTTTATGCTTTTCGTTTGGCCGTCAAAAACTCTTCTGATGAACTCTACTGTTTTTTTTTTCTTTTGGAATAATTCGTTTTTCCTTGTGTTGATCTTCAACTTGGATGTGCTCAGTGCTTCAAGAACCCGGGACAGGCGATCGACGTGCTTTTTCCTTTTCCGGGAATAAATGATAATGTCATCGACATAGACGTTACAGAAATTACCCAAGAACTTCT